AAAAAAAAAAAAAAGCAAGCGATTAAATTGTACTTTTTCCACTTCAGAAATCACCGAGCAGCCGTTTGGGCGCCTTTGAAAGGCAATGCGGCCGCGTAAAAAGCGTCCCGTTGCAACTGACCCGGAGGCGAACCTTCTCCCAACGTCCTCTTCTTGGCGGGACCCGTTGACGTTTTCCTCCTTCCGTCCGTCTTTAGAGGGGAGCCGCCTTGTTTGGGTCTCGGCTTCTTCTTGACGGGTACCGCCGGTTCCTATCGAGCGAAACGTCGACATTTATCAAATCCACGTGGATCGCAGAAGTGGAAGCCGGGAGGAAAAAGCGGTTCTCAAAGTGCGCAGTTCGGTTGGAAGTGCAACATTAGTTTGTTTGACTTGTCCGAAGTAAAACCTCTGCCTCGTTTTAGGTGAACGCTTGGCCCTACGACGCGACTGTGTTTTGAAATGATGGGTACTCGGCGTGCGCAGTTGGAGAAACCGCCGATGTCGTTGTCCGGCCGAACCTGCAGCGGAGCGGCGGCGTCTTTCTTCTTCCTCTGCGGGCCGGTCTTCAGATGGCCTCCGTTCAGCCGCGGCCCGTCTTTGGCCGCGGCCACGCCCATCGAGAGCCGGGCCTCCGCCTCCGCGCTGGACTCCGGCTTGAGCTTGTCCAGGATGCAGGGGTTGAGGTGGGGCCCGTTATCGTCGTACATGAAGATGAAGTTGGCCAGGCGGTCATCCAGCGACATGGCCAGCGCCTCGGTGGCCTGGATGACGCCCATCTTCCACTGCGGTCGCATTTTACGGGGCACGGAAGGAAGCGTCTGGAGGGAACACGAGACGACCAAAAAAGAATGACGGAGGTGCGTGCACGTCAAACTGGATTTCGAAGCGACCCATCTTACAAGCCTTTAAGTTTTAAGTTGGCAAGCGAGCTTCAGATTCAGCACCGCTCGCATAAAGTGGAATAAATAAATAAATACACGAGCGCGGCAGGCGCAGATGGTTTTGGTGCAGATCCATCACATTTTGTGTTCCACCAAAATAAGACATTTGGAATCATCTG